CTGAGCAACGACAGAGAGAGCACCCGTTCATAGTAACCGAGCCCGGTGAGGTGGCTCGTGGAAAAAAGAACGGGCTCGATTATCTATTCTATCTCTACGAGCTTTGCCGTGACCTCTTGATTCAAGTTCAAAATATTGCTAGGGAGAAAGGTGAAAAATGCCCTACCAAGGTTAGTACTTACTTACTTACCCTTCATTATTATTATTATTATTATTATTATTATTATTATTATTATTATTAAAAAAATAAATTAATAATTGTTATGCTTGTGTCATTATTGTATTATAATTTATGCAAAAAGGTGTTTATAAGTAGTAATTATTTTTTTAATAAATAATTCCCCTAAATTTACCTTAAAGAGCACCTTACCTTGGTAACGATGACATGAAAAAAGTAGGAGCAGTGTGTGTGACGTTGACTGTGCTCCGTACGTATGGGCCTTAATTGGGCTCAGAAGGCCTCGTAAGTTGGGCTAGATTCTGATATGTGCTGTCTCCAGGAGCGCTTGACAACTCGAGTACGGATTTCTGGGCTACTCTGCAAAGTGGCCCAAAAGAAAAAGAATCTAGCAAATCATTTAGCTAGTGACACCTGTTTCTGCAATCTACATTGGAAGTTTAACACTTTTGTTCCTAATAAAAACCAATAATTACGTCAACCTTCTTGGATAATTTAATTATGATTTTATAATTAGTTGGCTCTTTTTTTTTAGGAATATAATTAGTCGGCTTCAATTATGAAAAACGTCAACGAATATATTCACAAATGATAGGTGACGAACGAGGTGTTTAGGTACGCGAAATCAGTGGGGGCGAATCACATTAACAAGCCGAAAATGCGACACTACGTGCACTGCTACGCACTGCACTGCCTTGATCAGGCGACATCTGACAATCTACGCAGAGCATTCAAAGAGAGGAGAGAGAATGTGGGGGCTTGGCGACAGGCTTGCTACATGCCCCTTGTGGCAATAGCCGCCGCCAGGCATGGATGGGACATTGACGCCCTCTTCAACACCCACTCACACCTCTCCATTTGGTACGTCCCTACCAAGCTCCGCCAGCTCTGCCATGCCGAGAGGAGCAATGCCGCCTCAACCTCTGGAGACAACTTGCCGCCCTTTTAGAGACCTATTTATCGACTTTGTTTTCATTCGACTTGTGTTATGTTTCAGTTTGATGTTTGTTATGCTTAACTTTTATGGTAATTGGGTAGTACTTACTATGTGGTTGTGAGTGTTGGTTGATGGTGTTCCCGTTTGGTGTTTGTAAGATTTGGTTTCTCAGATTTACTTTTCGATCACTTCTTAAAAATTTTCACCTTTCGATCGCTAAGATTCATCTGAATTGGTCAGCATTTGACAGAATGTGAAGAAGGTGATTGAAATACAACATAGAGATCGAATGTTCCCTACTATTGGAAATATCACGTCACAAAAGCATGGTCTGAACATGGTTCAGCACACGATTCGTACAGAGTAAAGAACAAAAAGGGCTTCCAAACATCATAATATATGCAATCAAAAGTCTTAATTTGGAAAAATCTGGTCACAATTTTTTTATGAAACCAAATGAAGTACAAAATACCAAACAAGTTTTCTCTTTTAAGTGAGAGTACAGCAGTCTCGACAAAAATTAGATGTATAAGAATTCAGTTTCAAGTTACGAGTAAATTTAAAAACCAACCTAAAATCAGGCCATAGTTTTTTATCACGAGGAATGAGTAGGATATTTCCACAATATATCAGCCCCAGTGCTCACACCATCAGTCACGGATTTAACCAGAGACGCCACCTCATCAACATTCACACGAATCTGCTGTTTGCTGTCTCTTTCTCGGACGGTGACTGAGGTTGTTGAGTCAACAGTTATGGCAAGTGGAACTCCAAGTTCATCTGTTCTTGCATATCTTTTTCCTATTGAGGTACCTGCATAATTATGTAACACATGTGATATGGCTAGTTTTACCGACGAGTGTCGTGCTTGTTGTGTTGAGTTAAAAAAAAAAAAAAAAAAAAAAAAAAAAAGAAAACTTAAATCATTTAAGCAAATTGATTAACTTGCATTGTTGGGCCAAATGATGAATGGAAAATTATGACAAAACAACTGCTTGGAAAAAAATAAATAAAAAAATAAATAAAGTTTTACTTATAAGCAGCAGCTTATTGGGCAAAACATTATCTCATGATTTCAACTAGAGATATAAGTGCAACTATCTAGCTTGAACAATATCTGGATTTGAATCATTTCAGAACAGAAACGAGCTCAAGCTGGCTAATCATTTCAGAACAGAAACGAGCTCAAGCTGGCTATCTTAAGCCAAAATCGATAGTTTGAGACACAATCAAATTGCTGCTCCAAAAGAATGTGCATGGTTTAGATACACTCAAAACTAGTCACTAGACAATGGAGCAAGAGAAATCCAAATTATTGAATTACCTAGAGAAAATTATAAGCTCCGAACATCTTATTTTAGGAACTTACAAGATTTTTCTACAAAGAAAAAGAAAAAATTAACATAAAGTTTCAGACTGTAGGGCCTCAGCCAAACACCCTCCTCCTAGTCAATTCAGAAGATCATTATTAGTTAATCTTCATTTGCATGGAAGACAGAAAAATAGGAGATAAGGATGAAAAAAAAGAGTCATTGCCACTCTTGAATCTCCAGAATTAGATATGCACTGAAACAGAACAAATAACAACAGGCTGGCCATTAAATAGCACATACCTGTTATATCAATCTTGTATGAAATCCCAACGGCAGTTAGTGATTTAGCAATCTTCTTAGCAACTTCCTCATATTGTTGATTCTGAACCAGAGGGAACACCGTACATTTAATGGGGGCCACTAGCGGAGGAA